ACTCAATTTTGATCATTCGTTTATAAAAGTTTTGTAGAATTTTGTTCGTTTTCAAGCTGTTTCTCAGTTTTCTAAAAATGTTGTTTCAGATTACAAGTGTGATGCAAAATTTCTGTAAAAGCAGAACTATACAATGTTATCAAGATTTTAACCAGTTTACTAATTAGTATGTTTAACTCAGTAGTTCTTAAAATTGAAGGTGTGAAATCTTTAAATTTTTGCTTAAATATTGAATCAAGATTTTATCAAACACTTTAGTAGCTTTTCTTTCAATTCTAAATGAAAAATATATTAAAGGTACCCCTCTTCCTCTTTGGTAGCTAAAAACTCGATTTCGAGCTGAGCCTAAGACTAGAGGGCTGCAGGGAACGCTATTTTGACAACCTGTAACCTGCCCTGCTGAGATTTTGACAATCTGACCCTGCCCTGCCCTATTCTTTTTAACACTGATGAAAATTCCACATTTCTGTATCAATTTATTATACAATTTCATTCGATTTGTTACAACCATAAAGCAAAAAATAACAAAACTATATATCTCGAAAATTTCAAGTCATCAAAATATCATCAACAATATCTGGCTTCAAATACTATCTTCTTTTTTCTAATATTCGACCTGATGAACTAAAAACACGTTCTGATGTAGCTGAACTGGCAGGAATGCCTAATAAAGGATAGTTCAAAGATGTCATCCGAGGCTTATGTAACCATAAACGTGTTATTCACAGCAAAATATATCCTTTCACTATGCTGCTTTCCAGTTTCATAATTCGCTCCTCTCCACAATTCACGAACGTCAATCGTAAATGCCTTTCAACGGCTTAGCTAATAAAGCAAGTTGTGGGTGTGGATGTGGGTATGTGTAGTGTGAATGAGATGAAGACCCACACCCAAACACCCACAACCACACCCACCCCACCCAGCTATACGTGACATCTACGAAGAGTTAAATGTAACTAGTTAGATTCGTTTGAGAACAACAACAATGGATGCATTTTTCTACCTCTATGTCGTACTTTAGCATAGAAACGCGTGAGAACGAAAAAATTTGCAATGAAAAGAAACTGAGAAGTGTAAAAAGAAAAAAAAATATTTTGCTTATGCATGTGTGAGGCTCGATTTATCTAAATTTATTTTTCTTTTCATTCTGTTACGTTGATAAGCAATATAGGGATGAAGATATAAGAAAAATAAAAGTTTTGCAGTGTGCATACCATATGTAACTTTATTAATTATCGCACAATCTATTAACTCGTTGAAGTCTATTAAAACTTGATTGATTAGTTATAATATGGCACATATATCATCTGGAGTTCGTAATTATTTCAAATTAGAACTACTGATTGCAAGTTCTTGTATTTCACTTCGTCAATTATTTAAAAATCGTTATTCACTATTCAATAATGGTCAAGTTTGGGATAATTCATCTACATGTGGAAATAATTATTTAAAAGTTATTACGAAATATAAGAATCTTAGTTTAACAGGTACACAAAAAACATCTGTTTCCAATGGAAATTCTGATGAATGGGATGTAACAACTTTTATGAATCTTCTATTATATATTGATCGTCCAAAACCTTTGAATACAACTGAAATACAACAACTTGACGAAGAAGATAAACTTTTGAAACAATTAAAAGATATTCGAAATAAATTAGTTCATCATTCAACAAAATCTGTTGATGATGTAGAATTCAATCAATTATGGACTGATTTATCAGCAATCTTAGTAACATTTGGTAGTACTGAAAGTGAGTTAGATAAACTAAAGGATGATAGTATCTTTGAATCACCAAAACAACCAATTAATGAACAAAATGTGAAAGAAGCTTCACATTTAAACTCACTTGGTACAAAAGCTCATAAAGATAGAAAGTATTTGGAAGCTATTACATTGTTTATGAAGGCAATCGTTTTAGCCGGTGTTTCAAATCATAATCGTGCTATTTTTTATTCAAATTTAGCTGCGAGTCGTTTATCATTATATGAACAAGAGACAACTACTTTTATGAATTTTGAAATCAATGGTTCAACAGATGAACGATATCGCGCATTAAAAGATGCTAAACAAGCAAGAAATCTTTGGCCAACATGGTGGAGAGGACATTTTCGTGTTGGAAAAGTCTATGCTGCTTTAAATGAATATGAAAAAGCAATTAATTCATTCGAACGAGCATTTGCACTTGACCCTATGAAAAAGGAAATTCAAGAAGCGTTGGATGATAGTCGACAAATACTTAGTCAACAATCTCGACATGAACATCTTGACCCAGAATGGAGTCCAAAAACAATTCCTGAATATTTGAATGATCTCAAACAAAAATTTGGTGTAGAGCCAGAAGAGGCTCGAATAGGCCATAGTTTAGCCGGATTAATATATCCATCAGGAGCTGATGTGATAGAAGGACTTAAATATGTACATGGAGATATTGGTATTAAACAAGATTATGCACAAGCTGCAAAATATTTTGCTAAAGCAGCCAGACAAAGCAACGCTGAAGGAATTTGTAATTTAGCTTTATTAACAGATCGTGGCTTAGGTGTAAAGAAAGATCATAATCTGGCCTTTAAACTGTATGAACAAGCAGCCACACAACCGCTACAGCATCCTGTTTTGAAAAACGAGCGAAACTTTGGCGTAGCTGAAGCTGAACATACTTTAGGACTTAAGTATGCTGACGGTATTACTGTTCACAAGAATTTATTAATTGCTGCTCACTACTTTCAACGTGCTATTGATCATGGCTTACCTGACTCTGCCAACAATTTAGGTCTAATGTATCACGATGGCCTTGGTGTTGATAAAGATCTTGCAAAAGCTGAACAGCTTTTCCAGTTGGCAGCGAAAAATGGAAACTCAGGTTCTATGTTGAGTTTAGCAAAAGTTTTGTTGGACAGAAATGATTTACAAATGTCAAAAATTTGGTTTGATCGAGCGTGTGATGCAGGAAATATTCAGGCTCAAAGTAATCGTTCTACATTTGAAAAAATTTTAGAAGAAAAACAAAAATTCATCGGTTCTTCTTCACCGAATATTTTAAAAGTGATGGACGAAATTACAAATATCATTGATTTTATGAATGTAAATCCAACCTCATGTGAATCATTTGATCAAACTATTTATGATTATAATATATTAAACGATTATGCTAATCGTGGTTCAAAAACAGCTAGAAAACTTTGCAATGCTTTAGAACATTTTCAACAAGCGTTTAAAATACTTATGGAATCTGATAGTTTAACAGAAGAACAAGAAAATACATTTGTTCATGAACTTTCGCAATGTTATCGAATCGAACAAATAGTCGCTCAATATTCTGGGATGGAAATTCGTCAAAAAATTGTAAAAATAGTCGAGGGAGTACTTTATCGATGTAAAACACAGTCAATTCATATTAATTCACAACTGGATGAAGATGCGAGAAATTGCTATGCTACATTGCATCTGGATTCATATGAATTAATTCTTAAATTCCTTGATTTATGTAAACAAAACTATCCGAAATCAGCTCGGTTTTTTGAATTAAGCGCCTCAGCCAATGGTTTTTTAAAACGATTTGAAGCTGCTCTTTATGAGACTAATCAAGGATTAGAAATAGATCCGAACAATGATGAACTTTTATATTTTAAAGCTGTTGCATTACGTTTGATGGATCACCATAGGAATGAAGCTATCGAAGCATATCAGAAATTTCTTGAAGTTGCACCTAACGATCATCGATACATACCAGAATCATTTTATGAAATGGCTACTTGTTATTTGAAACATAATATGTCTCTTGATGAAGAAAATATTATCAAAAATTTATACCGACAAGGTGAAGAGGCAGAAAAATTACAATTACCATGTTTTTTACCTTACAAATCAACAAGTAAAACCTTGTTAAAATTTAGACTTTATAATGAATCTTTACCAAATACAAAAACAATTCCTGATAATAATCCTAAACTGCGTCTTACTGATCCTCATAGAGTCGAAGTGATTACACATCACCGTGAATGGGAGAGTCAACTATCAAAAGCTAAAAGTAATGAGAATACTTTTATTATTCCTAAAACTCATCAACCATCAGTTAAACAGCCAACAGTTAAATCATTAATTGGTTTGAAACCAATTACATTAAGAGAAATGAATCCAGCAAAGAATCATGTTTATAATGGATATGTTCTTTCTGTAACAATCATTGAAAAAGCATATTCATCGATTCCATCAATTCAAATCATAATCGAAGATGAAAATCTTGATTGTCAACGAATGTATATTTATGGTTTTCCTGAAGAACAAAGCGAATATTTAATTAATAAGGTTTACACAAATGGAAGAAAAATGCTTATTATCAATCCATATTTACGAATAGGAGCAAAAGATAGAAAACCATCAATTCGTGTTGATGATTTTTCATCGATTACAATGCTAAATGAATCTGAACGAATAATTAATATGTGTCGATGTTGTGGAAAAGCAAATTCATCTCATGTTTGTAGTCAATGTAAACAAGCTTATTATTGTAGTAAAGAATGTCAAATCATGGATTGGAAGTTATATAAACATAAACTTATATGTCAAATAGAATAAACACGATATACAAATCATTCTTTATTGCAAATATCTATTATCATCAAAAACTAACAATTATAACATATAAAATATTTTTGTATTTCAACTAGAAACATTTATGTTTTGTTTTACGACTCTATTTAGAATATAAAATATTACTCATTTGACACTTGAATGAACAATAAAAACAATTTATAGTAATCAAAACATTATATCTTTCACGTGTAAAATATAAGTGTACAACAATAATTCAAAATGTATTGTCATCTCTTATTGAAAAATTGTTTGAATTTCACAGAAAAGCATTTTTATTTCAATCCATCTATGAGGACATTTATGTCAATGGATATGTTCATATATATATTATTTGTATTTCCGTTAACAAGATAATTAAAGTATGTTTTGTCGGTTAAATTATATTATGAATGTTTTATTTTCATTGCCAAGTAAGTCAATCAATGAAAAACATGAGTTGTAAAAAATGCTAATACTATTCTCATCGAATTTGTTCACGATTACATCTAATCTTGTATCTTCTCTGAAAGCACTCCCTGTTAGAAATGTTAGTGAAACGCTAATCACGTAGTTAAATCGGTTGTGAAATGTTCTATTACCATTACCGAGTAATATGCTCAGAAAATCATCAATCCAGATGACTAATTCGAGATCGAGTTTATTATCATAATTCAAATCACCGATTGCAATAGAAATTGGAAAATGATCAGTCAAATATATCGTTTGATCTTGGAATGAGCCATTTCCATTATCGAATAGTATACTGACGCTGTTATTAAATACGTTCACCAGTGTTAGATCTACAGTTAGCGCCAAAAGTTTAAATGAAATTAATTTTTTGGTATGTTTTTTTGAGTATTTTTGTGGAACTCACCTGTAGAAATATGTGAGTAAAAGTTTTAAGTCGAAGTTTTCCGGTTCCTCCTCCTTACAAATGTCCCCATTACTGACAGACGCGAGATCAAAATTGGTTGCCATGTTTATTCGTTGAGTGAAATTATTCTTTACATTAGTTGTATTTTGTGATAATCAAATCAATTCTAATGAATAATGAAAATAATACTTCTAATAATGAAGAAGAAGAAGAAACAGAACTTATTGTTCGTTCATTATTAACTGATATGATTACGAAAGTTTTATTGATGCGTTAACCGCAATTTGCAATGTGAAATAGAGAACGTGTACGTCGATGTCGGAAACAAAAGCGACAAAGAAATAAAAACGAAAACATCGACAAGCTCATTGTTCATCGTTTAAATAACAAATTGATTTCGCTTTTTAAATTTAATAAAGATTGATTTTTCGGATAAATTAGTGATTAAAATAATAAAAATAACGGTAAATTAAGAAAAACAAAACAAAAAGAAGAAAATAAATAATGAGTGAATAGCAACAAGCAAATAAAAACATAGAGAGACAAAATTTCTGTTCAAATTTCGAATATAAATAGGAGAGATGATTTGTCTCACAATCGATTGTTGTCTATTAAATACTATTCATTTTTCGTATTTTATATTAGGGTAATTAAACCGAAGAAGAAATGTTAGTTCCACCTTTTAGCCCCAAGGAGGCTCCCAGTCAGACAAAAAGTTAAAAATAATGTACTTTTAAATTGTTAAAATGTGGGCTTTTGAACGCATAAGAATGGCGTTTTTTAGTGGTTGTCTGCTTGGACTGTGGGTGAGGGTGTGGGTGCCTTCTCTCACGTTCATATCCACACCCACATTCACACCTGCACTCACCCACACCCACCCACACCCCACATCCAGCCACCCACACCCACCCCCACACTCACACCCATCTACCCCCACACACCCCACTCCCACACCCTGTCACATCCTCACCCCATATCCACCCACACCCACATCCACCCATACCCACACCCTTTTTCATGATTGTATGGTGCGACTGAATGGCAGTGTGAGGGTGGAGTGTTGATAAAGAGAAGACCCACACCCACAAACTGGTAATTAATCATGTTTTGCTGGTTAAGCAAATCATTTCAAGATAAATATTGCTCTTTCTGTAAGAATGTGTCACAAAAAAAAGTATATTCTGTCTTTCAAGTTAGCTGAAACTTTGGATTTAGTAGTTTCTAACCGTGCGCTTTCTTTTCCAATCATAAAAAAGCATAGGTCAAAGTTTTCAAGAGTATGACTATGTTCGATCCTCTCACAGACGCTCTCTTAATAAAACTTTGAGATATCTATAACTTAAGCTGTCGAATTAATTGTCATATTATTATCAACTAAAGAATCTGAATTGTTGATAGAAGCTAAGTAATTTTGGGTGAAAAAATCAAGTTCAGCTGTTGATTGATCGTACGTTAATATTTCTTTTTCATTTTCAGATTGCTTCATAGGCGGTCTATCACGCAAACATGCGCATGCCATACTTTCTCCATGATTGTAATACTTCCGTGATAGTTTTCGATTACCTAATCGACGATAAACATCGCCTAAATGATCACAAATACAAGCTGTTGCAGGATGGTCAAATGGCAGAGCGATAGCATTTATACGAAGTGCCTGTTGATACAGTTTGATAGCAGCCTTAAATTTGCCGATTTTATAGGATACAAAGCCAATATTATCCAATGTGGTAGCTAAATCAGGATGATTTCGCTCTAAAGTATGCTTTCGTATATTCAGAACATTGCGATGTAAGTATAATGCTTTCTTAAGCAGACCGTATCCTTCGTATGCCATACCCATATTGCTCAGCGTAGTAAGCAAAAGTACATGTGCCGATTCCAGAAAACGTTTCTCCAAAACCAATGCCTTGATAAGATTTTTCATTGCACATTTATAGTATTTCATATTAATAAAAAGCATGCCTATATTATTGTAGATAGTAGCTAAAATGATGTGATGTTCAGGTTTCTTTCTTGACAAATGCTTAAGTGCCATTTTATTATAAAATAAAGCTCTTCTGTTGTCACCCCGACAATCATGTACGGCAGCAATGCTTACATAGTTTTCGGCAAATAATTTTGGATTGAAGGGAGATGCATTAATGATAACTTCTTGTGCTTGGCGATAATAATTAAGAGCACTATTATAGTCACCGAGCTCTTGATATTCGAGAGCAAGGTTGCTCAAAATTATATGTGTATCGAAATGAAGGGGTGATAGACTCTTTTTTTTAATATCAAGTGCTTTTTCTAAATTGTATCGAGCCAATTTATGGTCACCCATAAGACTGTAAATACTGCTTATGTTCGAATATGTCGCTGACAGACTTGGATGATCCGAGGGTAAAAGTTTCTGTTGACATTGTAGAGCCATATTCTCACACCAGTAAAGTGCTGGCTTGAGCATAGATAAGTCGTAATAAGCCATACCAAGGTTCAGATATCCGATTGCCATACCTTCATCCTCCTTTATTTTTGTCTTTTGCTCCACCTCAATTGACATTTGATGATACCTAATTGCATCCTGATATTCACCAAGTGCGCCCAAAATTAAACCCATATGTGAATATATTGTAGGTACAATCAGTTTTAGTGAATGTTCCAGCTCCAATGCAATCTTACCTGAGTGTTTTGCTGCGGTCAAATCATCAAGCTTGTATTCATAATAAGATAAATGTGTATATATTTGCATTTTTTCTTCATCTGGTAGATGTTCTCTTAGAAGTAATTCACAATAGCGTTTTGCTTGAGAAAACTGGCCCATTATGTTGAGAAACTCGCTCATAATAATTAGCGAAGATTGTTGTCCTATATTATTTGCAAGATAGTGCTCTCTTAAAGACTCATCGATTCCACTGTTTTCAAGTAGCGTTAAATTCACCAACCAGAGATTAGAAGTAAATGCTGTCACATCAACAATACGAAATACACTACCCATGCCAAATCACACTTCACCTTCATCTTTATTGAAGCTAACATCATGAATATCAGCAAATGACACCTTCCATTTGGAATCAGTTTTATTATCGACAAGAATTTCAAACAGAACGCATTCGAAGTAAGGTTTTCCAAAAGCACCAGTTTGAAAGGTAAGAGCAACATTACTGTTAGTTGACGATGAGAAAAAGGCATTAACAGAATAAACGCCACCAATATTATCTTTGAGTTGTTGAAGTTCACCAGCTGAAATGATTTGACCTCGATAAAGTGTTTTAGCTGAATGCAGTGGCATTTGTGTTTGATGCAATTCAAATAATTGCTTTTGCAAATCAATGAAGATATAGCGAAAGTTAAAGATATTATCAAGATTTCGTGTTCTAAAAGTACGATTAATCAAACGAAATAGAAAACAGTTGCGTGTATACCATTCAATAGCTTGGTTCTCCGTATAATTTGACTCGAATTCAGATATTTTTTGCTGCTCACTCGAATTGTTTGAATAGCATTTCCGGCATTCATCAATTAGATCTCTTTTACTTTGTTCATTTCTTGGCAGTCGTGCCAAAATATCAATAAGTAATTGAAACCACAAGAAAGTGGTCTTCTCTTTGTCAATATTTTGAAATGATGTTTGATGAACGTTTTGGACTGGAAAAATATTTGCAGGTGTGAAATGATGTCGAAGAAATTGAACATCGTGCTGGATTTTTTGTACTAATTCCTCTGGTTTGTTATATATGCCGCGTACTTTCGGATACCCATTTGCCCATTCGCTGTGCTCAATTGTATCATTACAGTATATGTAAACACAAATGATCTGAGTTTGTTCATGTAATTGTGAAAGTGTACTTTTACCGATCGATCCGGATACTATAAAGAGCACTTTATCGGCGACATCCAACGTAGAAAAATATTCTAGACATTCATCTATATTATTGAAAACATGGAGATGATCGACCAAATTACCTAAATCCGTTTTACGGTTCAAATAATCAGGTTCGTTTAAATTATTTTTCATCAAACTATCGAGCCAAACAATGTCGAATTCACATCCTACTTCTTCCATTGTTCCAATGATTACATTCGAGAGAAAAATATTGAATGTTTTATCAAGTTAATGCAAAAAAGCGTATGTTTGCAGAGCGCAAAAAAATGTGGCATGAGAAAATGAGGAAATAATGAAACATGTTGTATGTAGCATGTCTTATGCTTAACAGAATTCTGTGTTTACTTTTAGCAGAACTGTTGCTCGTCGACTCATACTTTCAATTCTATGGGATTACTTTTCAAAATTTACTTTCAGCATAGACGTAAAGAAAGGATGAATAATTATAAGTTTAAGCTACAGCAGCGATGTTGGAAATCCTTTTAAGTCTTGTTTTAAAATTAATTAAGTGTAGTCAAAACAAATAATTACAGAAAAATATCTAGTATTTTTTATTGTCATTTGATTGTTATGCTTGAGATCATGTATGTTCGTCTGATCCATATTTAAATTTCTGTTATACTTAATACAAGTGAGTATAGCTGTGTTTTTTTCCAAAACATTAACAAAGAAAAGAAGATTAAAAAGTTGTCAGTGTGGTCGCTGTGAGATTAAGATATAAAACACAATGCACATGGTTCATGATGCTAGATAGCTATTGTTCACTTGTCTGTCACAGTTTGTAGGACAGGTTAAAGAAATCACTTTGCTCGCTCTATAGTTCAACATTCATTTTCGATTGTGTTTCACAAAAATTCGGTCGCAATGTACTACATATACTTAAATACTATATGGTTAAAATCATCTTTACCGTGTATAGGTGTGTGAGGACTCACGCTTATAATCAAAAAAGAATCAATAAATGCAATATGAGTATTTACATGCGACTTTGAGAATGCAGTCTTAATTGTTATTTTTTATATTCGAAAGTACATTTACGAGGGACAGAACAATATGATTTGAACATCACGAAAATAATACGCTGTTTCTCTCTTTTCTTGCATCTTTTTCGGAAGAATAACTATGTCTCATGATTGGATTAGATGGATGTTAGTTGGGTGTGGGTGTGGGTGTGGGTGGGTGTGGGTGTGGGGTGTAGGTGTGGGTGAGTGTGGGATGTGGGTGTGAGGTGTGGGTGTATGGCTGTGGGTGCGTGGCTGTGGGTGTGGGGTATGGGTGTCTTCTCTTACATTCATACCCACACCCACACCCACACCCACACCCACACCCACACCCACACCCACACCCACACCCACACCCACACCCACACCCACACCCACCCCCACCCCCACAACCCACACCCACACCCACACCCACACC